AGAGGGGCCGGCTAGCGCACCGTCCCAGGGGGTGGCCCGGTGGAGGCACTCCCACAGCATGATGGCCGCGCTGTAGATGTCCGCCGGGAGGTAGTGGTCCCGGTCGAGCGGGCGCTTCCGGTGGAAGGCGGCCAGCACCTCCGGCGCGGCGTACCGTGCCGTCAGGGCGTTCAGCTCCGGCGCCTGGCTCACCAGGGTGGACGACCGGTCGGTGCTGAGGTTGCGCGAGGTGCCCAGGTCGCCGAGGGCCGCGCGCCAGCCCCCGTCCAGGCGCTGGCTGACAAACACATTGCCCGGCTTCAAGTCCCGGTGGGCGATCCCCTGCGCGTGCATGGCCTCCAGCCCGGAGGCCCACTGCTGGCAGATGTCCAAGATGGCGCCCTGGTCCAGGGGGACGTCCGAGTGCAGCAGCGTCGCCAGGTCCGTGTCGAAGCGCTCCATGACGATGGCCGGCGGCTGCTCGCTGTACCCGTACAGCCGGACGACATTCGGCGCGTCGCGCAGCAGCCACATCAGCGCCACCTCGTTCTGGAAGAGGGTCACCTGCGTGGGGGTCATGCGCGCGGCCTTCAGCTGCTTGATGGCCACGGTGCTCGGGCAGCCCAGCCGGTCGGAGATGCCGGCCCCGACGGCGTGTGCCGCGAACACCGACGCCTGGGTCCCGGCGCCAAGCTGCTCCTCGTTCAGCGGGGCGAAGTCATTGGCAATGCTCACCAGGATGCTGCCGGGGAGCGACAGCTCCAGCATGGTGTTCAAGACCGTGGCGTCCTCATCGTCGTCGGTCTGCGTATTACGTGGTCGGTGGGGTCGGTGGTCAGTGGGGTCGGTGGGGCCAGTGGTCAGTGGGGTCGGTGGGGCCAGTGGTCAGTGGGGTCGGTGGGGCCAGTGGTCAGTGGGGTCGGTGGGGCCAGGGGCCGGTGGGGTCGGTGGGGTCGGTGGTTGGCTGAGCTCCGCGACAGGCCGGGGGGAGAGCGCACCTTGGTCGGGGCGCCGCGCTGGCGGCGCAGCCGCAGCAGCAGGAACAGCACCAGCAGCAGGAGCAGGAGCAGCAGCAGCAGCCCCAGGCCGATGCCCAGGCCGAGGGCTGTGTTCAGTGAGGCAGTGGTCAGCACACAGCAAGAGGGCGCAAATCAAAAGTGGTGCTCGCACGTACCGAGGCGGCGACCGGATGGCTTGTTGCTGCTGCAGTCCGCCTCCCCGGGACCGATGCACGTCTTGCAGTTGGCGTGGCAGGGCGCGCAGGCCGGCGCCGGCGCGTCGCGATCCGCGAACGTCCCATCCGGGCAGCTGGCCACACACGCACCCCCCAGCACCAGCAGGCCGGCCTCGCACTCGAGGCACACGTCGGCCACCGGGCAGGACAGCTCCCCGTCCGGGCCGAAGGCGCACTCCGGGGTGCCTGGCCCGGCGGCGCACCGCTCGCAGCCGGCCGGACAAGCAAGGCACATTCGTCTAGGTAGGGGGGGCACCGCGGCCGGGAACTCGACCGCGACCAGCCCGCCGGCCGGACAGGCGCTCAGGCACATCCCATCGCCCGCATGCAGCCAGGCATCCGGGTCCATGCACGAGGTGCAGTGCTCGGCTGCGCCGAGGCATGTCCAGCAGGAGGGGCCGCATGGGGCGCAGGTGCCGGAGCCCGTGCTGTACTCGCCGGCCGGGCAGTCGGCAACGCACTCGCCGGTCGACGGGGACAGGACGAAGCCGCCCTCGCAGGCCAGGCAGCCGGGCGTGCAGCCGACGCCGGGCTGCTCGGCGGCCACCACACACTCGGTGCAGTTGGCCCCGCAGGGCTCGCACATCGTCGTGACCCCGCAGCCGAAGGTGCCGGCCGGGCAGACACCCACGCACAGGCCCCGGTCAAGGTACGTCTGGCCAGGGCATACTGTGCACTGGTCGGCGGCCGCCCCGGCGCAGGCCAGGCAGGACCCATGGCAGGCGCCACATGTCCGGTCGGCCTCGGCAAAATACCCGGCTGGGCAGCTGGTCAGGCATGCGTGGCCATGCATGACCCGGTCCGCCGGGCAGGCCGTGCACTCGGCGGCCCCGGGCCCGGAGCACGCGCCGCAGGTCGAGCTGCATGGGGGACATGCCGCCCCGCTCTGGAAGGTGCCGGCCGGGCAGGTGGCCAGGCAGCGGCCGTCCACCAGGAGCGGGGCGTCCGCACCGCACGTCAGGCAGTGCTCCGGCCCCGGGCCGTAGCAGGTCCCGCAGGACTCGTGGCAAGTGGCACACAGACCGCCCAGGGCCACCGAGGAGCCGGGGCACTGGTCGACACAGGCCGGGCTGGCCAGCAGCCACCCGCGCTCGCACAGGGCGCAGGTAGTGGCGCTGTGCGGGCAGCTGGAGCAGTGCTCCGTGCACTGGCGGCAGCCGCTGGCCGAGGTGTGGTACCCCACCGGGCAGGCCCCGGCGCAGCGCGAGGGCGACTGCTCCGCCGGCAGGGCGAGCAGGTCCCCCGGACACCCGGTACACTCGGTGCTCCGGACCCCGGCGCACTCGGAGCACGAGGCGTGGCAGGCCAGACACCGCCCCGCGATGGCCACATGCCCGGCCGCGCAGGCCTGCACGCAGTCGTCGCCCTGCAGCACGGCCCCGGCGCACCGCCAGCAGTCCTTGTCCGTGGGGCCGTTGCACGTGGCGCAGGCCGCGTCGCAGGGCAGGCAATCAGCACCCGCACGATACTCGCTCTCCAGGCAGCCGGACACGCAGGTCCCCACGCCGGGGGCCGCCTCGACAAGCTCCAGCCCCGCGCCGCAGCCGGTGCACTGGTCGGCCCCGCCGCCGGCGCACGTCCGGCAGCTGACGTCGCACGGCTGGCACGACTCGCCGTTGCTGAACGACCCGGCCGGGCAGTCGGTGATACACTGCCCGTTGGGGCCCAGTACGAGGCCGGCCTCGCACACCAGGCAGCCGCTCGCCCTGCAGGAGGCGCACCCAGGATCACAGGGGACGCATGTGCCGGTGGCGCCGGCCGCCGGCGGGCCCGCGGCCCAGCGGAAGCCGGCCGCACACACCAGGCACCGGTCGGCCCCCTGGTCGCACAGGGCACAAGACCCATCGCATGTGACACATCGGCCCGCGCCGGCATACTCGCCCGGGGCGCAGGTGCTGCCGCACAGCGAGGGCGCCTGGGGGTCCAGGAACACCAGGCCCGATCGGCACCGGGTGCAGGCACCGGCCCCGGTGCACTGCTCGCACGACGCGTCGCACGGCCGGCAGGCCGGCACCTGGCCAGGCGTGCTGCTGGGGAAGAAGCCGGCCTGGCACTCCGAGCACATGTTCCCCAACGGCTCGCACGCATTGCAGTGGTCGGGGCAGGGCAGGCACGCGGCGACAGGCCCGTTGGTCCAGGTCCCCGTCGGGCACGCCGACACACATGTTCCCTGGTGGTTGAGCTGGCCGGGATGACAGGAGGAGCAGGCGGCCGGGTCGTCGGGCGACAGGCAGGTGGCGCAGGACTCATGGCACTCGAGGCACATGTCGCGCTCCGGCAGGCGAAGCATCCAGCCCGGCGGGCACTTGGTGCACTGGTAGGGGCCGATATCCGGCGGGCCGAGCGACGTGCACTCGCTGCAGGAGGCATGACATAAGCACGGCCCACCCGGCACGGAGTGCATCCCCGCCGGACACTGCTCCAGGCAGACGCCCGGCGAGTCGGAGAGCCACGCGCGGCAGGCGGTGCAGTGGCCCTCGGTCGGGCCATCGCAGGTGGCACAGACGGCATGGCAGCCGCCGCAGGCGGGCGCAAACTGCCCGGGCTCCGGGCAAGTCAAGAGACTCAGCCGCAGGATGGTGGCCCGGGGGCCCGCGGTGGCCAGCAGCAAATCCCCCAGCATCTGGTCGGCCTCGGGGGATCCGGCGACCGGCGGCGCCAGCGGCACGGCTGTCACCCAGTGCACGGCCGGGGAGCTGCCGCCGGGAGGCCCGAACGGGAGCCCGGCAAATGCCCGCCCCGGCAGAAGCCGACATCCGCCCACCGGGCCGGGCACGGTCGGGCACTCCAGCAGCGCCACATGGATTTGGTCCTGCGTCAGCAGCAGCAGCGCCGAAGGGTGGCGAATGGCGCCGAAGGAGCTCCCGCGGGCCGCCGACGCCGACAGCTCCACCCCGATGACGCGGTAGTCCTCCGACGAGCCGGGGGTCACGCCCGGCAGGACGGCCAAATCCTCCAGGCTGTATGACAGGGCCTCCAGGCGCAAGTGCGGCACCAGCCCACGGGGAATGTGCGCCACGCGCCAAGCCGCACCGCCGGCCGGGCCCTTCGGCCAGGCAAGCCCCGACAGGAAGACCTCGGCCGTGGCCTCGGGCCGGCCCGTGGCCAGGGCGACCGCGCGCCAGCCACTCGGCAGTGCCGCCGGCAGGGCGTCCCGCCCGGCGGCCACATCCACGCGCGGGTCGCTCGTCACCACCAAGCCCAGCGGCAGGATGGCCGCGCCGTGGGTGCCGGGCGCGTCCTCGGCCAGCAGGGGCTGCAGCAGCATATCCATGTCCACCCCGGCGACCGCCGGCGCCGGGATCAGCACCGGATGATGGCGGAAGGTCGGGTGGGCTGGCAGCTGTGCGACGGCCCCGGTGTCCGGGTCCACGCGCAGGTACGCCACGCCGGCGGCCAGCTCCACCGTCACAAGCCCCCCATCGGCCGGCAGGTGGCGCAGGCTCTTGGCCCCGGGGAGGTCCAGCGCATAGAACGAGTCGACTGCCACCTGGCAGCCATCCGCCGCCGGGGGGGGGCCGTTGGTCAGGCATCGAAGCTCCGCCACCGAGAGAAGGCCATCCTCATCGGCCAGCAGCGCCACCGCCAGGTTCGCCGAGATCGACACCTCGACGTAGGACCGAACACGGCCACTGTCAAAGAAGTTGGCGGGCAGGGCCTTGGCGAAGAGCTCCTCTCCCGGGCGCGCCAGCAGCCAGTGTGCCTGGCCGGCGGTGGAGAAGGTCAAAAAGTGCCCCGGCGGCCAGGCCCCGGGGTGCAGGACGACGGTCTGGTCCTCGGTCACGCGCAGGCGCGTTTGCGCGACGAGCACCACCGGGGTGCCAGCCGCGCCAGGCAGCTCGAAGTTCCTGGCCTCCAAGCCCACCTGGGCGTCCCACCACCGAGGCATGCACCGGTTGCCGGCCTGGGAAAAGCGCTGGCCGCATGAAGAGACACACCGGGCCCCGAGCGAGGGGTCATCCTCAAGTAGCCAGCCCGTGTTGCACACGAGGCACTGGCCGCCAGGCATGCAAGTCCGACAGTTTGGCGGGCATGGCTGGCAGGATCCTAGGTCGAGAGTTGGCAGAGGGGATGGGGGACCAGGGGGTCGAGGTTGTGGAAGGGGGGTCGTGGGAGGGGGGTCGTGGGAGGGAGGCCGTGGGAGGGAGGTCGTGGGGGGGAGGTCGTGGGAGGGAGGTCGTGGGGGGGAGGTCGTGGGGGGGAGGTCGTGGGGGGGAGGTCGTGGGAGGGAGATCGTGGGAGGGAGATCGTGGGAGGGAGGTCAGGGAAGGGAGGTCGTGGGAGGGAGGTCATGCAATGAAACGCGGAGAATCAAACGCGGCGAATCAAACGCAGAGCATCGAGATCAGGGCTCGACCAAGCCCAAGCGGGGGGCGGCAGGCCCAAAGGCACGAAAAGGGCATGACATACCGGAATGCGGCAGCAAGTGGTCCCCCAGAGTGAAGCCGTCCGTGCATCCGGCACACAGGACCCCGGGAACAGCGAGGGCGGCCCGAGCGCGGCCCGAAACACACCCATACCCCTCGATTCTGAGCGAGGGGTCGGCCTGTGGCGAAACGCACTCGATGGACCAGTCATCGGTGCAGAGGAAATCCGCCGGCTGGAGGTAGGCATACTGCTGGCCGACCAGGGCCCAGGTGCGAGCGCTGCCTGCCTGCCCGGTCACCAAACGGGCAAGCCTGAAGCCAGTGGCCCCATCGTCCGAGGCCCCGGCCGGGGGGATGGCCCGCCGCCAGGTCAGCTGGTGCCCCTGGCTGGGGGCCGCGACGATCCACAGCCCGCTCGAGCCACTGGCAAAGACCGCCCAGCCAGGCGGAGTGTCCACCTCGCCGGGGCCCAGGTCGAGAAAACGCCCCCCGGCGGGATGGACCCCCTGTGGGATCGAGTCCAGTGAGTGATCCAAACAGAGGCCAGTCAATTGTGACGGGTCGCTTGTACAAGTGCAAGTTTGGTCGTTGTCCAGGACAATGATGCGCATGTGGTGGCCATTCTGGTTGGTCGAGTAAAAGTGTGTCCCCGCCACGCCGAGCACATTGCCCGGGAGGTTGTTGAACAGATTGACCAATTGGTGACTCGGGTAGAGGGGCAAAAGGACCATGATGATATTGTTGTTCCACACGACAAAACGGCCCGCGGTCTCGACCACGGCTCCCAGGTACGACGCCGGCAGATTGATGCTCGTGATGATGTCTGCTCCGAACGCGCCTCCATGGAACTGGTACAGTTTCAGATGACCTTCCTCCGAATGGAAGACCAGGAAGGCGACCTTGCTCGGAGATGAGGCGGAGATGGCCAGCACCCTGCTCGATGCCGGGATGATGGTGGTCTTCCACTGCGAGCCGTCCAAAACAAGCAGGAGCCCCGACCCGACACCGACCAGCGCCGGGCCCTGGCGAGAGGACACCAGACGAAGGGCAACCTCCTGGGTGCCGGTCGGCAGGGGGATGGTCTGGGTGGGGAGCGGCCGGCCGAAGGCCCCGCCAACCCGATAGTCGGAGTTTAGGTCCAGCCTCAGGCCGGTTTGGGTGGCGCAGTCCGTCTCGCCGGTGGTCTGCACGGCGCACAGGGTCCCCGGCTGATCGGGCCCATGCGAAAGGATGCTCATGCCGGGAGCGGGGCTTTGGGTGAAGGCCCATGGCTGCGCCTGGAGGTACATGTCGGGCAGCATTGTCGGGGCCATTCGAGCCAGGGGCAAGCCCCAGGCGGCCAACACCAGGAGGAGAGCCACCAGCGGGCCCGGGGCCCAGGAGCGCCGGGCTCCTGACCATCGGCCGCGCGACATGGTGGCCAGTGGCCGGAGGGGGGGGGGG